CTGATTGGCCCTATCTAGCTCTGTATAAGCACAGTTCACATTATCAAATTTGAGATCAAGGCACCTGGCAAGGGCCACGTTGTTGGTCTTGACAAACATGTCTGCATTCGTAGCAATACAAGCCTTGAGCGAACTACAGCAAACACTAACTGTGTTGTAAACCATTGGCATAGCCATGTATCTCATGCTCCGCGAAACTGACAGCAATTTAAGATTCTCTTTCCAGCGACGCTCATCATATTGTGCCATAAAAGTTGAATGATGAAGTACTATAAATACAATATCTTCATTCATCCTGTTTGAATAAATGGGGTTTAGAAATTTAATAGTCATGTTAAATAAAAAAGAAAAACTGAAAGAGAAGAAAAATTTTCTTGAACAAGACACAACTATTATAAATTTTAAAGGCAAAAGGCAGGAAGGCAAACTGTGACTTTATGCCCTATTTCATTCAAAGCAGGGCTTCTGTTTTGTAGTGCTACTTTCTATTCTCTTTGTTTTTCACACCCTGGCCCATAAAAGAAAAATAACCATCCAACATTTCTAAAGATATATTCCTAGACTATCTGATGCCAGAAGCATACTCTTAACATTAAAAAATAAAGACAAAACATAAAAACAATAAAACACCCTGCTTCCACAAGTTATCGTTATAAAATAACAGATACAGCCCCTTATCTATTATATTAAGGGAGAGAACTTTGAAATCAAGTAAATTAGCTTGTCGAAAAGCAGATTTCCAACTGCCTGCTTGGCCAAGCGGTAAGGCACCTGTCTTGTAAACAGGAGATCGCCGGTTCGATCCCGGTAGTAGGCAATTTTTGTACTTTTTTGCAAAAAATAATTGATTGACAATCTGTGATCGCTGATATCTTTAAAACTGAAGAAGGTTAAAAGTCAGCTTTGTGTAAATAACACACGCTCATTTATTTTTATTAGCTTGTAATTTAATCTTCAGCAAAAGAAACATTTACAAAAGATAATAGTTTGAAAGAAAAATTCACAAAAAGGCGAAAAGCTGTGAAAACAGATGATTTTGCTTTTCTACTCCATATTATTTTTTATGCTTTACAATGTTTTCAACCTCATATTTTCAGTCGCTACCCGATGTAGTTGTGCATAAAGTTATAAATTATTTGCATGATGGTTCTACTCAGTCTCGCTATGCTTGTTTAAAAAGCCTTTTTGGAGTGTGCTCAGCATGGAGGCAAGTAGCTTTAAGTGCAATATATTCTGTGTGTACTGTTGATTTTAATAGGCCATCAGTTGAACTGGTTTATTCCCGTGAACGTGATATAAAAACAAAAAAGATAAAGAACAATTTGTATACACACTATGTCAAAAATGTTATGACATCAATTGACTATAATGACGTGTTTTCTGGCATTGCATCTGCTCGTTTTAATGCAAATGCTTCCAACTTGAAGTTTGACAATGCTAATACTTTAAACATTGCATTTAAAGGAGGCCAAAAGGACTGCA